GATGGAACGCTTTGATTCCAGTAAAAAAAGGAATGGGTGGATGCTGTGGCTCATAGACATTCACATTTATCGTCTTTTGAGGACTAAGATGGAACGCTTTGATTCCAGTAAAAAAGGAATGGGTGGATGCTGTGGCTCATAGACATTCACATTTATCGTCTTCTGAGGACTAAGATGGAACGCTTTGATTCCAGTAAAAAAAGGAATGGGTGGATGCTGTGGCCCATAGACATTCACATTTATCGTCTTCTGAGGACTAAGATGGAACGCTTTGATTCCAGTAAAAAAAGGAATGGGTGGATGCTGTGGCTCATAGACATTCACATTTATCGTCTTTTGAGGACTAAGATGGAACGCTTTGATTCCAGTAAAAAAGGAATGGGTGGATGCTGTGGCTCATAAACATTCACATTTATCGTCTTCTGAGGACTAAGATGGAACGTTTCGATTCCAGTAAAAAAGGAATGGGTGGATGCTGTGGCTCATAGACATTCACAATTATAATCTTCTGAGGACTAAGATGGAACGCTTCGATTCCAGTAAAAAAGGAATGGGTGGATGCTGTGGCTCATAGACATTCACATTTATCGTCTTCTGAGGACTAAGATGGAACGCTTTGATTCCAGTAAAAAAAGGAATGGGTGGATGCTGTGGCCCATAGACATTCACATTTATCGTCTTCTGAGGACTAAGATGGAACGCTTTGATTCCAGTAAAAAAAGGAATGGGTGGATGCTGTGGCTCATAAACATTCACAATTATAATCTTCTGAGGACTAAGATGGAACGCTTCGATTCCAGTAAAAAAGGAATGGGTGGATGCTGTGGCTCATAAACATTCACAATTATAATCTTCTGAGGACTAAGATGGAACGCTTCGATTCCAGTAAAAAAAGGAATGGGTGGATGCTGTGGCCCATAGACATTCACATTTATCGTCTTCTGAGGACTAAGATGGAACGCTTTGATTCCAGTAAAAAAGAAATGGGTGGATGCTGTGGCTCATAAACATTCACAATTATAATCTTCTGAGGACTAAGATGGAACGCTTCGATTCCAGTAAAAAAGGAATGGGTGGATGCTGTGGCTCATAAACATTCACAATTATAATCTTCTGAGGACTAAGATGGAACGCTTTGATTCCAGTAAAAAAAGGAATGGGTGGATGCTGTGGCCCATAGACATTCACATTTATCGTCTTCTGAGGACTAAGATGGAACGCTTTGATTCCAGTAAAAAAGGAATGGGTGGATGCTGTGGCTCATAAACATTCACATTTATCGTCTTCTGAGGACTAAGATAGAACGCTTTGATTCCAGTAAAAAAGGAATGGGTGGATGCTGTGGCTCATAGACATTCACATTTATCGTCTTCTGAGGACTAAGATGGAACGCTTTGATTCCAGTAAAAAAAGGAATGGGTGGATGCTGTGGCCCATAGACATTCACATTTATCGTCTTCTGAGGACTAAGATGGAACGCTTTGATTCCAGTAAAAAGGAATGGGTGGATGCTGTGGCTCATAGACATTCACATTTATTGTCTTCTGAGGACTAATATGGAACGCTTTGATTCCAGTAAAAAAAGGAATGGGTGGATGCTGTGGCTCATAAACATTCACAATTATAATCTTCTGAGGACTAAGATGGAATGCTTCGATTCCAGTAAAAAGGGTCTCCGGTTCTCTACACTCACCATACGAAACACAACAATATTACGTTGCTATTTTACGCTCGTATTCTGTGAGAGCGTGTTCCTTCCCCGGTCGAGCCGACCCATTCATGCTTTAACTGTAATATACGAGATCCGAATTTATTTTTCCTTTTCATTATATTCACCTGCTACCCTAATACATTTTTCGAATCTTTCAATTAACTTATGTATACCATCAAAAATGATTTGTCTTTGTCTAAAAAATACGCCGAAACTGCTTCCTTCACTTCTTCATCACCTAAAAAGTTTTTCCTTTTTCTAATGATCCAATTACAATAAAACCCCGTATTTATATTAATAATGAGTTGATCAATTAGCACGTAATTCATTGACGTCCCCCCTTACTACCTACCTTCCCATTCCGCGAACTTGAAAACGCACCTACGTAACTGCAGCGTGGCTGCCACGCAATAAAGTTAAAATAATAAGAAATGTTTAAGTACTTAAACCTAAGCACAATTTTTTAATTAGTTCTCGTTCCTGAAAAATTTCTTGATTCGCAAAATGCGAACATTAACTAAGCTACCTACTACTCACTACTAGTTGAGTAAACTACTCGTAGTCCGTATCACATGAATAAATACTTACTCTGTGTTCGTATTGCCGATACAATAATACACTCGTAGATAAGAAAGTAATTTGAACCTCTCTTGTTATTGTTATGAAACGAGCCAAAATTACATACTTTACGACTGCTATAAATATTGTCGTAGGTAGTTGCCATATTACCTACGGCATATTCGCTAAGTGACTTGTATACGAAAATAAAAATATAAAATGAATATGTTATTCACGGGGTAGTTCTTTGTTTATTTAAAAAAAGAATGAGAAAAAAGAGAAATCTATACCACTAGATCGGCAATGCAGAACAAAAATTCTGTAGCAGCTGTAGATCGCGCAGGCGGGTTGCTGACACGGTAAAATTCCACACAGTTGTATTAGTCCAGAAGGAATCGGCGCATGAGTACCGAAAACTATTTCACTTCAATGTTTTGTCCTACTGATGATATAAAATATAAGTGCATTTTGCCATGGGGTACTGCGGTGCCATATTGTTTAAACCGAAATTGTTCAATCAATTGCAAGGAATTTTCATTTTCTAACGGGACATTTTTTATATACATTGATGAAATACGAATAAAAAAGGTCCTATGATTTTTTTACCTGACAAAGCTAATGTTTTCGGAGTTATCAATTTTTAAATGCTTCGATCAACAATACCAACTAGATGTCGGGTCGGCGCAAGAAATCCATCTAAGTAAATAAGAGCGCACATGAGACGTGAGCTCTTACTTCATTTAATTCACTTGAAACACAGCCAATATAAACACGTTTCACAATGCCGCAATGTGTATTTAAAAGTTGCAAGAATAATGCCCGAAAAAGTAATTTAAGGACCGGAGTGTCTTACTTTCGGTAATTAGATGTAATATGTTATATTTTAAGCTCTAAACTAACAAATAATATCATATTTGAAACAAAATTACCAATCATAACCACCCCTACAAATGTTTTGCCAATGTTGACCAATACACGCGCAAACATTTGTGAAACGGAACATAGACGCATGAAGTAGATTTGTATTGTAATAATTTTAATAATTCGTTACCAAAACTTTGAATAATGGTAATTCCTAATTTTGTTTTTGTTTGTGTAATTCCAATAGATACTTAGCTTTTTTTTAGCTTTCCTAGCTTTCTTCCCTGGTCGAGCCGACCCATTAGTGCTACAACTATACTACAAACATAATTGCAGCATGGCTCTACCACGTTTTAAAAGTATGCAAAGGGCGATCTTATTGCTGACAGCAATTTCTTCCAGACAACCAATAAATGGACAGGATTACATGAAGATGACAGGAGTAGGGTAAATTGGTGTGATAAAAAAGAATACACATATTTATATATATATACTATACATAGATACAAACATACTACGAACATATATACATACAAAAACTAATATATATATATAATTGAATTAGTTGATTAAATGCAATCAATATACTACATACTATATTATATTTAATGGCTAGTGTGGAAGGTATGTATACCAACAATCATAAATGCCCAAAACATAAAAATAATTTTAATTAAACTTATAGTCATATTATAAATGATTTTAGTGTTCAACGCGTCTCAATACTTCCTGAACCAAATTCGAAGAAGAAAACAGAAACATAACAAAATGACGTAGCTCGCAAGGCAATCACGGGAAAAAGAACTTTATTTGTTACACGTTAAGGTTGATTTCACACCAAATGTTATTTAATTTATGTCTTTTCATTTCCAAGTGATAGGAGTATTGTATAGCTTTGTTCTTTTTTGTGACTAATGATCGTAAGATTTGTTTTGACTATAAAGTCATAGTAGTAATAATACTAGATGCGATGGTTGTAATTAGGTTAAACTTAAAACTATTTTAATCTTTTGTCTCATTTCTTTAGTAAACAAATGTAGCTGTGTTTATATTCACGTGGACAGTATTTAGCTATGATTTTGTACGTGACCCGTTATCTAGTTGGTATTGTTGATCGAAGTTTAAATTTTTGAAAAATTCAGATAAAAGTATCTGAATTTTTTCAGATAAAAGTATTTGACTTATTAAATATATACATAATATAAAAGATATATTTTTAGCGAAAATTGAGGAATTAAATTAATAATAATGTAACTGAAGCTAATTAATTTTTAAAATGTTCAACGCCTTTTTATGTAAAAATATTACTTAGGTACTCTTTTTCTTTGTTCCTTTGTCTAAACCAAAAGCCAATTACCGGAAAAAATGTTGTAATTACCACTGAATGATTGACTCATCACGAGATCTTTAAAACTATATACCCGATTGACGTGAAATTTAGTATAGTTACTCATTTCGCAATGTAGACCCTCACTAAGAACGGATTTTACGATAGTCCCATCAAAAAAAATCTATATATTTTATATAATTCTTCAGTATAAGTGTTTGTCACTGAACACCTCCTTATAGTGGTGGAGCCATGCTGCATTATTGTGGTAAAGCCATGGTGCAGTTATTTATAGTAGTAGTATAGTTGTAGCACGAATGAGTCGGCTCGATCGGGAAAGCACCACGCTCCCACAGAATACCAGTGTAAAATAGTAGCTTATTGCTGCTGTGTTTCGTATGGTGAGTGTAGAGAACCGGTGACCCTTTTCTGGAAACGAGGCACTCCATCTTTGTCCTCATGTGTGACAACGCAACTCATTATCAAATGGACTGTAATGTCTGTTGTCCTTTTGAAGCTATATTTTAAGACAAATTTACGTACGAGTACACATAAGGTCCAACTTCTTCCACATTCAGCCGCCTGTCTAAGCCATTCTTGACACGGTGCCAGTTGGTGTAGTTGAAGAGGTGAACCTTCATCAGCGGCTGCACTGCTGGCCTCCTCCACATGTTGAACGCGAGACTGTTGTTTCTTATAACCATGCTCTAAAAACAATGAAATAAAAATAAAATATGTATACGTATTCCGATTTGTTACAAAAAGTAGTTTTGTATTAGTTTCACGCTTAAACTAGTCTATTTTTATAGAATAAGGACGATAAACGAGCACACAGTGACACAAATGATGGTAAGTGGATGTTGTGGTCCATAGCCATCTACATTTATACTCAATTAAGAATGCAGATGCGTGGTCACCTGTGAGATGGAATACCTCGTTTCCAGTAAAAAGATTTCCAGTTCCCTACACTCACCATATGAAACACAGCAGCATTAAGCTGCTATTTTACGCTGGTATGGCACTGGCACTTAAACCACCCGATAGTACTTATTATGATGGATGCTGTGGTTAATAGACACTATCGTCTACTTTCGTTTAAAAAAATTATTGCGTTCTTACTAACAAGAAGTAACACTTCACACACCAAACGATACACAACAGTGTTATGCTGTTTATCATGCTGACATTTTGTGATAGAAAAATAGACAAAATCATCAGAAATCTGAAATTATTTTGGTAATTTTTTTCAATGGCTCGCAACATTGAGACGTAGACCATTCCATTTGTGGAGAGGATTTGCAGTAAGCGTAATCGTTCCGAATTATAGTACCAGCAGTTGTAACCTGCCATCCATTACCAGTCTGGTGATGTTACGGTCACTTTTTACGATAGTCACGGAGAGAAAAGGTGGTGAGAAATTGTCTAACATCACTACTATAAGACGGATGGTTTACTAAGTCTACCGCTTCTTCTGGATCAGAATTTATCAGCGATTTTCTCAAACCGATACAGACTTAGGAACCTTCAAGAAAAGAGCTTACTTCCTTTTAAATGTCGGCAACGCACCGGCTATTTTTGTGATATTGCAGTTGTTCATGGGCAGTGGTAGTCACTAGTAAAGGCACACAGCTCATATGATGGTATGTAACCATCATATGTGCCTTTGTCCCCAAACAGTCAAACGGCTTTTATTAAAAAAAAAACAAAGATATAGATATAGATTTTCTCTATAGGATGGGTTTGTCACGATTAAACTCGTAGTGTAACGTTGCTGCCCACCGCCGATCTGAAAATATATGTCTGGTGTAAACGAGATGACCGTTATCCATCGAAAGCTTATCGAGTTTTCTTCGTTTTCTTTACTAGTTTCTCATAGTCAACTCTCACGACACCCACGGTACGAAATGAAATGATTTATATGTAATCACTTTCGTCACTACTATATGGCAAAAGCGTCTATAATGTTATATATTGAAGTACTTACAGATAATATGGCATCGTTGATTGTATTCGTAAAACAGAAAAAGACTGTACCGATGAGACTTAGTGCAAAAATGGCGGACAGGAGTACTAGTACTGAAACAAAATGATATAATTAATTATTACTAACACTTAAATAAAATTTTTCCTATAAAAATATAGAAACAAAAACTAGAACTTTGTTGAAGTCAGTTGTATATAATATTTCTTTAATTTCGTAGTATAAGAGTGATAAACAGGCACATAGCCCATCTGATGGTAAGTGGACTTAAAATGCAGGTGCGTTGTCACCCCCGACAGCTAAGATGGAATTCCAGTAAAAAGGGTGTTTGGTTCTCTAAACTATGGTCAATACGAAACATAACAGCATGAGTCGCTATTTTACGACGGTAACTTGTATGGGCGTGGTTCTTCCCGAGTTCAGACGACCTATTCGTGCTAGCTGCAGCCTGACTACGTGATGCCTTATATATTTTTCTTCAAGGTGCACTGTTGTAATTCGTTCAAGACTGTTGGTCACGAGCCTCTATTTTTGTAGAAAGGGTTTTCTATAATTGCTTTGCAGACGGACTTGCGAACTATTAATATTTATTAATATTTATTTAAACTACTTTTACGGATTTTATTGTTTTTAATTCCCGACGTTTCGAGTGCTTTCTAGCACCCATGGTCACGGGAAGTCTGCAGTTTGTGATCCTAGATGGTCTAGGTGGATTATATCCTAGATGGTCCCCGCCATTAGATTAGATTTGATAGACCACAAATCCTTGCGAAAGAATATTGATTCCTACCAAGGATGATACGTGAGGCTATTGAAATTAAAAAATACATCCTAATTTCAATAGAGAAGGAGGCTGGGTACTACCACCTGCATGGGATCCTGTAATTAATAAAATCAAAACTGAACCATCTCGAAGTCTTGCAGTGGTATGCTTGCCACTGCAAGACTTCGAGACACGTTAAGTACATTCTGCGTAGATCGGACCATAAATAATAATTAAAAAGCTGAAGGTACTCCGGGTTAACACTGACATCGGGACGTTAGTCACTTCAGTCCCCCGTGACCATGGGTGCTTGAAAGCATCCGAAACGGCAGGAATTAAACGCGATGAAATCTGTTAAAGTAGTTTTAATAAATAAAATTAATAAAGTTATACGCCATAGAAGTTATCATTTTTAAGAAAGGTTAGGTTAGACCACTCAATACAATGAACTTAAGCTAATTTTTAAATATAAATATAAAGCAATATAAGTTTTTTTTTATAGTATAAGGGTGACAAACAAGCACACAGTCCACCTGATGTTAAGTGGATGCTGTGGCCCATAGACATCTACGTTTATCAAAATCTAAATGCAGATGCGTTGCCAGACCTTAGGACTGAGATGGAATGCCTCGGTTCCAGTAAAAAGGGGTCTACGGATCTCTACACTCACCATACGAAATACAGCACCATTAAGCTGCTATTTTACGCTGGTATTTTGTGAGAGCGTGGTCCTACTTATTCGTGCTGCAACCACAATATAGCTGCAGCGTGGCTTTACCACGTAAAAGTATGTTTGTTATGTGGTGAATTTAGTTTATTAATTATTTATTCATAGGTTATGAATATTATTATATCGGTCTATTAACACATATTTTATGTGTATTAATTGGTAAGTTGAGTCATTTATGATTTATTTAACTATTGCAAAAATAATTTTTCTGTATCGTCATAAGCTTCTTTCTTTAATCACTTTCCTATGATATTCTTGCATTGATAACTTTTGTGCTGATATATATAAAGAATTTTATATAACTTATTATAAAGCAGAGGACCTAGATAACAGTTATAATTATGAATGAAAAATGTTCTGTACCGGTTTATTTTACGTACTTTATGCTTCAGTCTATTTATTGTGAGGCTATGGTTATATTCAAGTTTCCGATGATGATCGATTATTGCATTCAGAATATAAATCTAATGTGGGATAACTAAAAGGTTAAAATGTCATGACTTTTAATAGCACTCGATGGCCTCTTTCTAATTTTAACAGATATGTTTTACAAGCTCCACCCCATGATGTGATACAGTATGCTATTATTGACTCAACCAAGGCGCTGTAAACCAATTTTAAAGTAGTAAGTATCAGCCACGTATCGCAGTTTTTTGAAGACGAAGATTAACTTTCTCGTTGTTTCTGTTACATATTTTATATGCGGATTCCAATAAAGATGTTCGTCTAACAAACGCCCAGATAACGTATGGTTTTAGTCCTGTTTAGTATATTAAATTGACAAGAATGCCCTTTCAGACAGGAGTGCATTTGAATTTTAAAAGTTTGTTCAATATGTAGTGTCATCTGAGTGATTGTGAACAGCATATATTTAATTTTAGAAATACATGTTTTGATTGAGCCAATTTCTAATAAAGTTCAAGTTTAGTATTTCTTTTGGCCTCTACCTAAGTTCTTCCATGAAATATTATTGAGGTGTCGCCTGCAAAAGTAAATATTTTACCCGTGTTATTTTTAATTTACAAAGAGAAAGAGAGAAAGAGATAGAAAAAAAATTATATTCAATATCTTAATATATACAAATTACGTGTCATGTTGTTTGTCCGCGATGGACTCTTAAACTACTTAACCGATTTTAATCAAATTTGCACAATGTGTGCAATTTAGCTCAACTTGAGAGATAGGATAGTTTTTTTTAACCAAGAGTGACTCACAATTTTTTTTTTTTGTAAAATTTAAGGATTTTTAATAGGTGATGATAAAGGGGCGTCTAATCCCTAGCGGTCTCGCGGTTATTTTAAATCTTCGTTCATCTCGTACGCCATTTTCGCGTGAATGTGTTGATTTTTTGGATTTTCTAGTTTTATTAGTGTTTTAGTACAACGTTTTATTATAAAACTGTAATGAAAGTTTTTGTATCAATATATTTTATCTTTTTACATAAATAATTTCGAATAATATATATTGAAATAATTGTGATTTTCACGTTGCCGACATTCACTTGGTATGTTTTTTTTGTTATCAAAATACAGTAAAATATTTTTGTAATGAAGTAAAACCTGTCTTCTGTTTAGACCACAGGATAGAGAATTTTGTATAGATTTTATAATGCTAAATTTCTTCATAGAAAGGTAGTCTATAAATATAAGTTTTAACGGTTTTAAATGCTGTGGGTGGGTGCGGTCGCATGCGACCGCTCGGGATTTGCCGGACGCATGATACTGCATGCGATTTTTATTAGTATTGAGGGGTTAAATTGAATAAGATAGTTGTGTAGTAAATTGCTATTGAGACTGGTTGAACGTCTATATTCTCTGTGAAATCGCTATTTGATGTATTTTTATTTGAAATACCCACTGTAAGACGTTTAGCAATAGAACTAAAGTAGTTATTTACTATTTCTAAAGATTCTTCCTGTGTAATCACAATTTTTAACAACTGAGGTGGGATTGTTTTAGGTTTAAATCTATCACTGACCTTATCAATTATTTTCCATTTTAGTCTGGGATTGTTTTCGTATTTTGATAATTCATTCCATTCGTGAATACACTTCCAACGTTTCAGTATATCATTGCAGACATTTTTAAATTGTTTATACGTAATAATCGATATTTCATTATCTGGATCCTGTTTATAATTCATATGCATTTGATCTCGATTTTGCTTACATCGAAGAAGCCCTGGAGTAAACCATGGTTTAATACAGCGCATTTTTTATGTGTTATATTACTGAGTGTGTCTATGTGTATTTAATTTCGAAATAAGTAAATAAGATTGTCAATATAGTCACATTTATTGATATTATGTTTTAAAATTTCATTAATTTAAGTTCATCAAGTATGGCTTTATAGTTAATTTTCTGTGAATTCGTAATTTTCGTTAGAATACTATTATATTTTAATTTAATACATGTTTAACACAGGGTGATCTGTGAGACTTTTTTCAATGACGATAGTGATGGATGTTTGGCTTAGATTATTGAATGATCTGAGCTGGTTCTATCTCTGTTTGGGAACGTGTAGAAGCGCATGTATTGCCGTTGTTGTTGATATTCATCTAAATTATTATCAATACTGTTTTGAGCAATATCTATGTTCAAATCTCCAACCAATATAATGTTATTTTATTTTGTATGATCAGAAAGTAATACATCTAGAGATTATAAAAATTATTATTAATATTTCCGTGGGGGATCTATAGATACCAAGTACGATGGTACCAGTACTTGCTCTAATATGTAAACATGGAGTAACCGTAAGTATTTTTTCTTCAACGATATAGCCAGAGCCTTTATGTATGCTATTAATCCATCATTTCGATTTTGATTGTGTAGTAGAATTGTGTGTACAGTAAGAGTCATGATTTAACAAAATGGGTGCAGTCAAAACTTTTGAGTTCCATGTTTCTGTTAAAATAATGATTTTACAAGATATATTCAACCTAGCTAACATGACTTGTAGCTAGAGGAAATTTCTATTCATGCTTCTAATATTTTGTGTCAATATTATGAGATTCAGTGTGTAAAGTTATGTTTGTACCACTGTTTTACATCTGTCTAGGTCACTCATAGTTTACCCGGTTCAATATTATCTAGGTTTGCAATATAATTGTTAATATCGTTTAGTGATTAAATATTGTAAGTATTAGTGACATAATTATACATATGTTGTAAGTATATTGGAAGTAGTATAGTGTTTTGTATAACATATTTAAGGGTTGTGATATGCGTAGTGTTTTACAGTTAAAAATAATTAGTAATTAATTTAAGTAAAATATAAATATAAAAACAATTGTTGTGACAACAATAACTAAAACTTTATTGACAGATATGACAAATATTATATAAGAAAAAATTATAAGTTTATCTAAAGAATACCAATATTTACTTAGTCATTTATGACTTTCAAGCGAAGCTAATTGCATCTCGTCCCTCTCCTCAATGTGTTGCGTCGAGTGATTTTTACCGTTGCTCGTCTAGAAAACTTATATTCATTAAAACGTACAAAATCTCTAGCAAGAAGGAATAACCTACGGTTTTGGAAGTAAGTGCTTCACAAATGTAAATTGGACGCTGGTTTCTCTTTATTTCTATAACAGCTGAG